ACATCTTGCATTGGAATAATCTATTTCAAAGACAGGAGGGATTCATCTTTGTTCTGTTTTGTAGGTCATGGCACCCATGTGTAGAAACACCATTCGGATCAACTTTGTCCAGATTCCCACTCAGCTCAAGGAATTGGTTGCAAAGGTTTCAGATACTACTTCCTTTATCAGAAGACATGGTAACCTCTTGGGTTTGGTCACTTCCAAATTGGATGAGCAGATGATGAGTGTCTTAGTCCAGTTTTGTGATCCACTGTACCATTGCTTTACTTTTCCGGACTACCAGTTGGTCCCTACCTTGGAAGAGTTCTCTGATCTGCTTGGTATCTCTATTCTGGAGCAGACCCTGTTCACAGGTTGGGAGAAGATCCTTAGACCGAAAGAGATTGCTTCAGCCCTCCATCTGATAAAGGCTGAAGTAATGTCTAATTGAGAAACTCGTAGTGGAGCAAAGGGCTTTTTGACTAAATTCTTGGTTGGTAAAGCTAATCAGTTCTGGGACAGTCTAGACTTCCAGGCATTTGAAGACATTTTGGCTCTTCTAATATATGGTTTGGTATTGTTCCCTAACTCAGAGGCTTTCGTCGACGTGAATGCGTAAAGATCTTCATATCCGGTAATCTTGTGCCCACTCTATTGGGTGACATTCTTCATTCTCTTTATGCCCGTACTCCTCGGAAGCGGGGAACCCTTATGAGTTGTGCACCGTTGCTGGAGAGGTGGTTTATTTCTCACCTCCCCAAATCAGTTTTGAAGAACAAGGAAGGCATGGGATGGGCCTATAGGATTATGTCTCTCTCTCATAATGACATCATTTGGACTATTAAGGGTATGGACAAGGTGGCTATTATTGATCGCTGTGGGGAATACCCCAATGTTCCACTGATAGGAACCAATGGAGGAATCACTTATAATTCGTGCTTGGCCTTACGTCAGTTTGGGCGAGCTAGAAGGGAAGGTCCTCATGAGTTGCTAATGTCGAGTATTGTCTTTGATTTCCAAGGGGATAATGACGAGCAACGCTGCTGATTCATAAGAGCTTGAGATAGAGTACGCAGGTATGATCCGCACGAGCTAGGTGCAAAGACTTCTCTTCCGATGGAGCCATATCTCCGATGGGTTCGAATTCGTGCCCAAAAGCTGGGAATGCCGTATGAAGCCGTCTTGCCTATCATTGTTGAGGTTACTGACAAAGAAGGGGTTTCTCCTACCATCCTCCATCCATACATGCCCACTGACATTGGGGCATTAAAGATGTCTTGGATGCAGCTGAGAGAAGAGCGGGTCCTCAATGACTATGTCCGCACCGACAAGAAGCGACCATGGTGAAACAACCGGCTGAAAATCATCAAACAATGAAGTCGCCATCGAACGACTTTTATCCCATATGAAGGGAAAGGTAAACATTGAGAAAACCCGAGAAGTGAGAAGTCACGGTCTTGCGACCGAGAGATCGGGTAAGGGAGTCTGTTACGCGAGGGGAAGGTATTAACACCCCACACGCCCGTAGTACTCTACGGTATCCACTCTTGTTATCTATCTTATGGGTGTGTTTAATCTATGCTTACTGTTTATTATACTACTGGAGGAATGCATGAAAAAAAAAGGAGAAAAGAATGTAGGGAAAATAAAATTGTGTTCGCCTGGGCCCTACCCCAATGCCTACGTATCCTTTTTGAGGAATCAGAGCAGCCGTAGTTCGGCTTATGTGTTTTTGTTTGTTTGTATTTTCTTTAACGAATAGTATTAATCTCGCCTTTTGCCGCAACTCGACCTTTGGAGATTTACGCGTCAGCACAGAAGTGAATTAATACGCTCTTTTGAAAAGGGTTTGAAAGAAAGGCCCGAGGGCAAAAAGATTTTTATGTTTGTTGGTGTTTTTGCTTGTAGGTAATAGCTAGTTAACCTCAAGAGAGAGATTTTAGCCATTTCTCTATTTATTCATGAAATGAGTCTTTGAGACTTGAATCATACCAAAGCTTAGAACAAGAGAATAATAATGTCGAGAAGAAACCCGCTCATCATCTCTCAAACTTAGCCAAGACATGGTTTTTGTCAGTAAATTTTTATGTATTTTTGAAGTTTGTAAATAAAAGTTTTTTTGTTTTAACTGCATATGCAAAGGAGGAAAGAAAGTCACAGGAAGACAAAAGTCACAGGAAGACAAAAGTCACAGGAAGACGAAAGTCACAGGAAGACGAAAGTCACAGGAAGACGAAAGTCACAGGAAGACGAGAGTCACAGGAAGACGAAAGTCACAGGAAGACGAAAGTCACAGGAAGACGAGAGTCACAGGAAGACGAGAGTCACAGGAAGACGAAAGTCACAGGAAGACGAAAGTCACAGGAAGACGAAAGTCACAGGAAGACGAAAGTCACAGGAAGACAAGAGTCACAGGAAGACGAAAGTCACAGGAAGACGAAAGTCACAGGAAGACGAAAGTCACAGGAAGACGAAAGTCACAGGAAGACGAAAGTCACAGGAAGACGAGAGTCACAGGAAGACGAGAGTCACAGGAAGACGAAAGTCACAGGAAGACGAAAGTCATAGGAAGACGAAAGTCACAGGAAGACGAAAGTCACAGGAAGACGAAAGTCACAGGAAGACGAAAGTCACAGGAAGACGAAAGTCATAGGAATACGAAAGTCACAGGAAGACGAAAGTCACAGGATGACGAAAGTCACAGGAAGACGAAAGTCACAAGAAGACGAAAGTCACAGGAAGATGAAAGTCACAGGAAGACGAAAGTCACAGGAAGACGAAAGGCACAGGAAGACAAAAGTCACAGGAAGACGAAGGTCACAGGAAGACTAGCCTATTTCTAAATCTAATGTTATCGTGCATTAGACCTAAAGTTAGAATCTTGAGGGAATTCTACCTAGAAAGTGGTAAAGTGCAGGAGTAAAAATAGAGTTGTGACGATACCGAACGGAGAAGGTCTGTCGCCTCTTCAAAATTGTGCAAGCGGTAAGAAAATTCTATCAAAGTTCCCTTGGGCAAGTGATTGAAGATTAATCTCCAAATATTCCATATTGCAAGAGTTATGTCGATGCTACAAAAATCTTGACTAGAAAATGGCAATAAAAATGATTATCGAATATGAAAAATAAAATAAAAATTTTCTAATCGAAATTCTAAAAAGAAATTCTAAAGAATTCTAAAATATCCTATTGTTTTGTATCATTTTATTATCAATTGAGAGAAAAATTAAACTAGAAGAAACTGAAATAATAAAAAAAGAAAAATTAGAAGAGTCAGGGGGTATAAGCTGAATTCAGGGTATGCTGCAAGCAAAAATTAAAATGGCACCAGGCCCAACAAGAGTGAGTCCAATAAGCATTTTCAACATTTTATTTATTATTTACTTAGTTATTATTATTATTAATTTGAATTAAGTAAATAAAACAATAAGACAAAAACAAAAAAAGAAAGAACGTATGAAATTGGAAAAGGGTTAGGATTAGAGAAAAAAATGTTTCGTCCTTCTTCTCAAACAGAACAGCGGCGGCGCCTCCGCCTCTTCGTCCTCGCGTTGCTCCGTCTCAGTCTCTGCCGTCTTCTCTTCCACTCTGTATCGACTCCATTCACCACCTCTCATCAATCTTTGTCTGATTCCGCCTTCTTGCGCCATCTCCGATTCACCTTCCAATTCGCTTTCGACACAAACAATAACAGAAAGCAAAAAATTATTGAAGTGAGGGGGACTCACCTACCGGAGCAGCTCTGGTGGCTTCTTAATCGCAACAGTGGCGGCGAGAAATCCAGAGAAATACGCTCCGGTATGTGTTTCGTGTCCGATTCTTGTTCTACTTCTTCGTCCAATTTTCTGCGATGTTGTAATGTTGTGTGGTTCTGTGCGATTTTCTGTTTCCAGGTGTTGTTGATGTTGCGAATTCGGAGTTGCAGATTGTTGAAGTGCGCTATCGATGTTGACTGTGATGATTAATGTGATGAAGATGATGATGATGTGGATTTGATGTTGTTGATTGAAAGATAGGAGTTGCTGCAATTCGTTGAAGGTTGAAGTATGAATCGCTGCGTTCTTGATGTTGCAGAGAGGAAGACAGTTATGGAGGCGAGAGAGTGATAAAGATGTGAAGAGGTTTTTTTCAGAATTTTCTTGGTGATTCTTCTCAAAAGTCAAGGAGGAATCATCGTAAAGGTGAGTTTCTTTCTTAATGTAAAATAAAATCCTCCCTCCTTTTCTGACTGTGGTCCTTTTTATTATGTATATGCTGGAGTTTTGTTGTAAAATAAGCCATGAGTTGGTTATGTGGTTAGTTAATTCTGTTAGGAAGTTAGGATGCAGTTTGTTATGCAGTTATCAGTGGTTAGAAGGTTTGAGAGTTTGTTATGAATTGGTTACTGAATGTTAGGTATGCTGTAACTGTTTTTGGGTTAGTTAAGTTGGTTAATTGAGATATGGTTTTGGATAGGAAGTTATGGTTAGAAAATTCTGTTAGGGAATTTAGTTGGGGGAATAGGTTGTAAGAAAGCTGGAAATTTGTTGTTTAGAAATTCTACTTTGGAAGTTGGTTAAGAAACGGTTAGGAATCTGTGAATTAGAAAGGTTGGTTGAAATTGTGTTAGTTATAAGTTAGAAGTCCTGTTTGGAATTGGTTGGAGTTAGAGGAGTTAGGCTGTTAGAGGAAGTTGTGTTACGGTAGTTAAGAGATGAGCTGGAAAATCGGTTAGAGGGGAGGTTATGTGTTAGTTTTGGAATGAAGAGTAGCTAGGATACTGTTTAGTTATTTTTCTGCTGGACAGTTAGGGAATATGACAGTTTAGTAGCAAATTAGTTAGAAATTCTATTGTGAAAGGAGGTTAATGGATTTAGCTAAGTTTGTTGAAGGAAATTTTGTTATTAAGAGGTAATATGCTATGTGAAGAAGTTAGTAGTTGAACGAAAATGTTAGTTGGTGTTACCATGCTGTTGATTAGCAAGCATGCAATCTGTATTATTTGGAAGCAACTTGCATTGAATATTTAGATCAACATCTTCAGCAGTTGATTGCTTCTGCTTTTTTGCATTTACGCCTCTTCCAACTACATGGCCTAGATCGCTTCCCAGTCCTAGTTGTAACACAGTTCAAGTCTGGTTTCCCTTCTGACTCTGACTTCTTTATAACAGTAGCAGCTCTAGTAGACTTAGGAGCTTCAGAGGCACTGGCACCATAGCTCCTGCTCTCATGATACCTATTTAATTGCATTGAGAGCTCATCCGTCAAACCTAGATTACTTGCAAAGCCAACGGGGTCATCAGCATTGCAAGAAATACGGCGCTTTTGTTTTTGTAATGTTGTGTCATCAACGTCAGCAAATCTTTTTCTCTTTCGTGCTTCACATTTATAAAGTGAAGAATGCTGATGGTCAAATTTTGATGAACACTTCTTCAACATATCAAAGCATAGACGGCTGATTGGAGGACCTCCCACCTGGTAGTGTTTTCCATGGGAAGCTGGCAAAAATATTGATGTATTCTTTAGTAGGTAAACCATAAAATCATCCCCAACCCTACTCAACAGAAGACACCAAGATGCACAGGATAAGAGGTTCACATTAGGGCTTGAACATGTGCTCTGTATATTGATAGCAAACCCGTAGTTAAGATACGGAATAGCTATTAAAAGTTAGTTAGGCTGCAGCCATATTTGAACGACTTGTAATTATTCCATGGTACATTATTAGATTATATTACAAACTGGTTCTTAAGTTTGTCCTCAACATGGAGTGCTATCTTATCATCTGTTTCAACAAATTCATCCAACACGTTACCTTGAAGATGAAATTAGAAGTAGGTTATTAATCTAATTTTACAGTGAAATTAGAGAGATGATTTGATTTTTCACTGAGCCTGAGCCTGAGCCTGGTTCTTGTGATGAGTTTCTAGATGATTCTTATTCCATTTTTTGTATAGTATGATGATTCAAACTTATTCAGGTAACTTTGCAAATCATCCAAAGTGTATGGAATCACACTGTCACTTAGAACAAGGGATGAAGATCCACTTGGGCAGTCCCGTACAGCCGACAATTTGAACCACAAGAAATCATCTATCGAACTAAAAAGATTCTGTTGATCTCTAAGCAGGTAATCAATATGCCTTCGAGAACCTGATATGATGGCATGATTGCTTATATTGACTTGGATTTTTTTGTATGAATGTTCAGGTCATGAACTGAAGATGAAGAACTTTGACATGGCATGGAATTAGAAGTTTACTCATGGAATTTTAGCACCTTTAGGACTAAGGAATTTTGTTCAAGTGTATTTTTGTAACCGTTTTCTTTTCTTTGTAGAATATTGGTGTAATGGGATTGTAATGATTTTATAATGAATGTTTGATTTGGATGAACTTGAAATTTATAGTGTGAATTATTAATGACTTTGAGCTTGAAATGTCGGGTGATGGATTTTTTTTTGGACGGAGTTTAAATGACAAAGTCTTGAAAAAATGCTTGAAGATATGAAAGCATCAAATTTTCTTGTGGGGTGTTCTTACAATTGAATGAAATTGAATGGAATTGGATAGTATTTTCTTGAACCATGAATGAGAATGAAATTGAATGGAATTGGATAGTATTTTCTTGAATAAATGTTTGAACGCATTGTGAACTTGAATCTGAAATAACGGTGAACATCTTTGTAATGCGTATGAACTCTGACTTGAAACAAAACCTCGCAGTCTGCACTTTACCTTCCAAGAAAGCCATATGAACAATACTTAAGACTCTTTGCCGACTTTAGTCCAGTCAAACACTTTCGAACATCTTGAATTTAAATCAAACTTCAAGTCCAAATCACACTTGCATTCTCAATGAACTCCTAACTTCAATCTTGAATCCCAAATCAACTTGAATGACAAATAATTCGAATAGCCAATAAGATCTTGATCCTAAAATTTCACAACCTTGACGACCTTTAATCCATAAGTCTCTTATCTTGACAAAGTCTTTCTCTAATTGACGACCTTTAATCATCAAAGATGTACACAAATGATAATGAAAGAACATGATCGAGATTAACATGAAACCTTATTTCCCCTTGATCTTCGATTATTTGAACATTTATCAATGAATAGAAATCCTGATTTTTTAATGAAATCTTCCTTTTCTGAACCAATATTTCTTTTCCTTTACCATACTATTCTTCAAATGCAACTTGAATTCCCAACACATATTAGATGAAAATTCAAGGGAGACCTTGGCCCCAAAGTTAATTGTTCAAAGCTTACTTTAACCGAAGTCAGCAGATCTTATCCTCGTATCTTTGAACTTGGCCCATGATTATGCATCTCAAGGTCTCATAAGAGCTTGTAAGCCCATCAACCAGGTATGCCATGTTGAACAAAACCCTGCCTTGAATGCCTTGAACCTTGAATTACCTTGCATGAATTCTTCTATGAGAAACCTACTTCAATCCAAACCTACTCACATCGCAGATGACAAATGACAATGAGGACAATGATTGCCTTGGTTAAGGAGAAATCTATGAATTCATATCTTAGGTCATGAACCACGCTTCACAATTTAATCCTCAGCCCTTAGCGATCGGTTATTTCAACTTGAGATTAGTGTCATAAGGAACATCTTACAGATGGATGATAAAGTCTGAATCACAGAAGAATGCCCTTGATGTGAAACCCTCACAATCTTGATTCCTCATTCAGACGCATAGAGAAATATCCGGATAAAACATCTTTGAACCATGATTCAACAAAACCTAATTTGATTAGCTGAGGAGTAGACGATTGTCATGTCACAGTCATTAATCCTAATCAAATGACAAGCATACTTATAGGAAAGGACGTCATGATTCGAAGCCCACATATGCTAGGTCACGTCCTAGAGTTCTTGACTAGAATGACCTACAATCGGTTGTTTATCAGAAGATAATAGCCTTGCTGCTTGAGGGAGAAGAAGTCCTTTATTGGATATGAGCGCCTTAACCACTATGAAACCCTAGTATCGCACAACCACTGAACTTTGAACCTCAGAGCTATATTGAATGAAATGTATGCCATGTTAGTGACCTAATGAAAAAGATGCAGATGAATGCAAAAGTCTAAGCCAAAAATAAAGGAAATTAGGAGGGCAAATTTTGGGGTGCAACAGCTGCCCCTATTTAATCGCCTTCAATCCTGGAGGTGAGATTGGCGTTAGCCTTTCGAACTTTCAGGGTGGAAGAAGATTAAATACTAAAAGAACCCGAAAATTTGGGCTCCGAAGCCAGTCAGGTATTATTATATCTTTGATTTTTTTTGTATCTTCTGTATATTTTTTTTTTTGGTAAAAAGGATTATCAGGGTTAGATGTATGTTTAACCAGAGTTTGACACACCGAAGGATAACTTGGTTATCGAGGAACATCTGTTGGGATTTAGCAACAGACACCTGTAAGAAAGGTATCAAAAGATATATGCCTGAAGCCTGTAGTAGACATACGAAAAAATATCAGAGACACATATCCGGGGTTGGTAGCGGATATATAAGAAAGAGACATCAAAAATACATATCCGTGGTCGGTATCGGACACATAAGAAAGAGATAGAAAAGATACATATCCGTGGTCGGTATCGGATACGCACAAAAGATATAGAAAAGATACATATCCGTGGTTGGTATCGGATACGCACAAAAGAGATATCAAAGGTACATATTTGTGGTCGGTATCGGATACGTACGAAAGAGACGTCAGAGATACAAGAACATATGTTTGAGGTTGGTAGTAGACATATGAAACAGGTATCGAAAATACATATCCGTGGTTGGTATCAGATACGCATAAAAGAGACATCAAAGATACATATCCGTGGTCGGTATTGGATACGTACAAAAGAGATAGAAAAGAAAGCTCTTGCAAAGAAAACACCAATCGAAGGTGAACTTACAACTGCAAAGAGACCAGCCGAATGGGACTCCGGACAAATGATGTCAATCGAAGGTGGATTTAAAAGAAATGACACCATCCGAAGCGGGATTTTGACAAAAGATACCAGCCGAAGCGGGGTTTTGAAAGATACAGGTATGCATGTCTGGTCAGAGTTAGATACACAAGAGCGAAGTTGATCATCAAGAAACAAACGTTTAGAATTGCTAGCGAACACAGGAACGAGACTAACCGAAGAAAGCCCCAATAAAAAAGGCGCATTCGCCTAAATAAGGATGCTAGACAACTAGACTTTGAAGAGACACTGAAAGACTCTTAATCATAAAAGATTAGCTAGGCTAACGAAAGGAGGACCCGACTAACGTGGATAAACCAAAACAAGGAACCGACTAAGCAGGACCTTCAAAGAGCACCGATCGAATGTGTACTCTGCAAGAGAAAGGTACTGGTCCAAGCAGACTCTAACGAAGAAAAACATGTTAGGCTTTCGATAGGTTGCAAATACGCAAGAACTAAAAAATCCCTCAGGCCAAAGGCGGGGTATAATTCTTCAAGAGTGGCAATCATCTGAATTACCACACACCAAGTATGGACACTCAAATACTTGAGAAATAAGAAAGGCTATACGCCGACTCTTACTCGCACTTTAACGGCAAAGCGAACACGGGTAAAATAACCAAAAGCTTGAAAGGGCAAGCGTAAACCACGATTTACTGGGGAATCCCATATGTATTAAACTTAAACAGAACGCCGGTCGAAGGCGGTCTTGTGATCAGAAAAAAAAACCAACTGTAGGGACTCTAAACAAGGATTGCCAACATGCGTTGGGCTTTAAAAGTTTTTGCAAATACGCAAGAACTACAAAATTCCTCAGGCCAAAGGCGGGGTGTAATTCTTCAAGAGTGGCAATTATCTGAATTACCACACACCAAGTATGGACACTCAAATACTTGAGAAATAAGAAAGGCTATACGCCGACTCTTACTCGCACTCTAACGGCAAAGCAAACACGGGTAAAATAACAAAAGGCTTGCAAAGGCAAGCGCAAACCACAAACTTACTAGGGAGATGGAGGAATACCAAAGACCCGACTGATGGTGAATCAAAACAAACCCCGCTGGGGAAACATAATAGAGTCACCCTTAGGCTTGTTATGGAGATAAATCAAATCTGAGCGCATAACAATCTGGTTACCACAAGTGGACATAATTGGCTTATACTTATGCATGTTTGAATTTTTTTATAGCGTAATGCTCCATACAATAGAAATGCTACGCGTTTTAGTAGATGCGATGTAATGATGCAATGTAATGATGCATGTTTAGTAATGCACTGGGGAGACCACGTCAATAATCGGATGTTGGGAAGACAATGAACTTTCAAATGTTTATTCTTGCACATCTAATCTTCTATAGAGAACATGCAATATGAACTTCAGTAGGAAATCGAGATTCGAAACCATCAACCTCGAACGATTGATAACATTGAAGAAATAACTTCCTAGGTAGTAATACTGCAAAAAGTAAATTGCAGTTTGAGAGAAAATCTTGAATTCTGATCAAACTTCCAAATTCCTGGGGGATAGATACTTTATCTTCTGTTAGAACGGGGAGAGCTTCGCTGGGGATGGAAGCTTTCTCTTGCGCAGAACTTCTTTACGAAGATAGCTTCTACTGGGGAGTATAGAAATTCTTAAATAAATAGAATTCTACTCAGACCACACTGGGGATAACAACGCCGGGGGATAAAAATCTTCACTTGGGGAAGAACCAAACATCCTAGGACAGAAACTCCACCGCTGACACCTCAACAAAATCTTTCATATTCCGGGATGAAGGAGTTAAAATTGGTGCTCCCATGTGCACCATACTGGGGAGAAGATGACACTGGTTCTAGAAAGCAAGCTCCACTAGGGAATGAAAACTCGCCTCACTGGGGAAAATACTGCAAAAATAAATTGCAGTTCAGGGAAATTTTCGAACTCTGATCCAACTCCTAACTTCTTAGGGAAAAATCCAACATCTCTTTCCAAGGATAAAGAGAATCTTGCTGGGAATTGGGACCTTCCGATGTAAGTCTTCGATAGAAGTGACTTTGATTGGGGAATCGCAAAATTTTTTTTTTCAATAAAATAATTCTACCCAGGCCACACAGAGGATATTACCGTCGAGGGTAACAATCTTCACTTGAGGAAGAGAAGGTCATCTTTGAACCATAAGCTTGAGGTTTGGAACTCTACC